AACAAAAACAATCATTCAATCTAACAATAACTGTTAAATAAGTTAGGAGATATACATACAGTTTCACATTAAAATAGTTAGAAGATATACTTACGGTTCAGAAAAACCAATCAAAATAACAACTCATCTGATAGTGTCAATCGAACATCCTGCCTTTATTCCATGCCAATTCATGAATCTTTGACCTGTAAATAATAACAAAAACATAAATAAATAAAAAATCATCGATAAAAAAAAATGAAGAACAGACATATTATTTTCACAAATTAAAATGACCTATAAACAATTAACAAAAGATCAGACGTATTATTGATACCAACTAACAAATTGCGATGATACACAACTGAACATGCACCCCTTTTATAACCTCTTATTTAGACCTTCTGAATACCAACACAATTAAATACAAATTCAATACGAACAAAGTTTTCCAATGTCAATACAATACACCTATATAATTATAGATAGCAATTCTAGACAAATGTCAATAAACCACAATTAGTAATACCAATCCAGTACACCTATATACTTGTTATTAATGCACATCTTTGGAATGCCAATGCAATACACTTATATTATTATTATGACAGATCCCATTTTTTTAATTAATTAATAATTATAGATGAAGTAATAAATACCAACCCAACGTGTCAAGATTGAGCAATATGATTGGCTTGTCAATTCAATGTGTTAAAATGGAGCAATTTTAGAGCTTCCAAAATGTGACACATGATGATCAACCTGCATGAGTATTCAGCTTTATATATATATCTTTTTATTTAGGGTTTAAAAAAAAAAAAGCAATAGAAAAAATATTTATGATTCTATAGTGTTTGGGCTGATGTATGGGACATATATTTCTAAAAAGGCCGGGTTTGGGCTGACCCAGTCCACTGGATAAAATAACAGTTTTAAACATTGTAAATTGCTAATCCATAACTTTCATCAACTCTTATAAATAGCTAAATTGGAATTTTTTTTTTTTTTTTTTTTTTTCCTTTCTAATTAGAATCATTTTATGGAGAATTATGAATGTTTCAAATTCATAATCTTCGTTTTTTGGAGGTGGTAAATTATTAAGAAGGAAAAAACATAATATCTCATTCATGGGTTATAATTAAGACCGTACTTAGTTGTTTGTTAATTTTTTTGATGAATGAAATCTTCTTCCTTTTTTTTTTTTTTTTTTTTTTTTTTTTTTTTTTTTTGAGCAACTTGTTTTGGGACTCAGGAATTAATGAGTGGGGGCAAGTTCAAATTATAATAATATAATAACTGAATATGTATGTGAAAAAAGTAAATGAGTTGGATCAAATCTAAAAACATTATACAAAATAAAAAAAACATAGGTGAATTAATGATTTTTTATTTTGAGTGGTGTCAGCAGAACCCCATGTGAGTCCCTCAGGTGAAAAAATAAAATTTTTTGCATCGATCTTTGATAAAGTATTGATATTGTGCAATCATAATCCTGTAAGATTATTCAAAATGGTAGAGCAGAAAAGAAGTGAATTTTCATCAACTTTGGATCCACCAAGGGATGCATGTGACACAACGAATATCATAAATTCTGGTGATTACTTTTTTATTTCTAAAATTCAGTGGAATGGGCATTATGGTAAAAGATGCATGCAATTTTCATTGAATTGGGTAACTTGTTGAGTCTTATCTACGATCAAGACATAAATTAAACTTCTTAATTTGTGTTGCACGGTTTCCTTTCCTGTATGCTTCATAGAAAACTTTCTGAAACAATAATTGACCAGCTCTACATTGAGAAATTCTTTGATGAGAGGCCAACTACTTCGAGGCAGCCTCAAACACTTATGAGATAACAGGTTTTCTGGAATATTTTTCAATAATGAGAAGACTTTGCATGCCCGCATGAGCCATTGATGATTGTGGAAAAATAATCTTCCTTTTCACTATGTTGCGTGTTGCCTGACTACTTCTTCACCCAACAATTTCACATATCTTTCTTCGTTGAAAATTCTTATCTTAAAATCTCATTTGTTGGAGGGACAAAAGTAAAACAAGTTTTTCTTTTGTTACTCAACTGATGTCAATCAAAACATCAATCAGTTTATGCTTTCTGGACACCAAGTCAACTTGTACAGCTTTTCTCATAAAATCGGGTTTCTATTTATTAATTGGCTGCTGATGCAAACACCTTTGTCTGCCATGTTGGAAGATTAGTCCACTTTATAAATTAGTGCTGTAGGCTCTGCACACCATGGACGTCTAAAGTCTTGTGCATTATTATCTTTGGTTCCATTCCTTATCCATCTGACATCTAATTTAGCTTTATAAACAAACATGGATATAAAGTTTCCTAAGTTATTAAGTCGTCTATCAGACTCACCACTCAAAAATGATAGTAAATTTTAGCAGAAGGCAGAGCTCGAAATATTGCAACCCATTTTAATAATAATAAAAAAAGAATTAATAATCGAATTATGAGAGCCATGTATAGCCAGTGCTATTGGAAAGGCTTGGATGATGAGTTTTTCATTTGCCAATATAAATATTGTTATTATCTTACTAGCTTTTTATCAGGACTTGAGATTGTAGGAAAAGAAAAAGCATATTAAATTAACGGTTCCACTAAACTTGTCCGTGCCTCATTTTTTTTATTTTTTATTATTCATGCCTTCTTCCTGATATCTAGGCATCTATGAAAGGTTTTGGATTCCTGTGAAGTCCCCATCTTTTGATTTGTTATTATTATTTTTTCTCTCTTTTTAAAGTTAGCAATTGTCTATCAATCAAATGAAAAAAGAAGATAGTTCCATTTCTTTTTGCATTGATGGATTCATGTATGACTGTAATTTCGCAGAATGTAGAAGCCCATACATGAAAGCTCCATCGACTAGATACGCAAGTTAGAGTGTTCATTGTATTTGAATAAACCAATGAATTTTACTGAACCAATAAAAGTATGATGTAAGTGATACTGATTCCTCAGAGTTTCAAGAATCTAATCTTCTTCTTTTGAAAAGTTGTGAAAATAATTAGACAGATGTTTCTTTTCCCTCTTATAGAAAATAAAAGAAAAACTTATCTTGGACCTTGACAACTAATGATCAATACCAAATGTGATTTATTTGTACCCTTTGAGCCAATCTGGCTGGTTAATAAGATTAATTATCCTGCATAAACTTTTCTGCAAAACCATTTACAAATCCTGTAAATACAAAAGCTATAGATTTTTTTATGTCTTTGTGGATTGGCATCAGTTGGGGGATTCCAAGTCAATAAAATTTTCTACTGTTTTGCCATTATATTCCACAGTTTCACCGCTGTACTAAAATTATTTTCTTTTCTTTTGTTGTGGTAGTCCGTTTCTTGAGGATTCTAAATGATACGCGAATCCTTCTTTAAGAAGAAAAGCAATCAAATAATTATTAAATATATATGGATTTTTATAAAAGACAAGACCCCAAAAGTTGGAGTGGAGGGCTAAATCCACTTCGTGCTTGAAGCTTTAGTGGTTTAATTATTTGAGCAAACGACATATTGGCACCCAAGGTTTGATAGTTCCATTTATTTCATATTTCCACCATTAAAATAACACTGTTAATAGTTTTCAGGGTAGCGAGGGTATAATTATCATAATGCTCTTAACCCTAAATTAATAAATTATGTTTTAACCCCTAAATTACTAAAATTATAAAATTAGCCATCTTATTTTGAAATTATTTCAATTACACCCTTAGTGACTATGCACCGTCTCGGTTTTCACTAGATCTAGGCTGTTTCCGATGGCGGCGAACTCCTTGGTCACCTCCATCACCTTCCCCATCGTTCGGTGTCCAAAACCCCTCTGGTTCCCAACTCATTGGGCCCTCCAATCGTCGATGCCGTCAGGCTTAGGTTTTCATCGTTCTTCATTGGATTTCGGTCGATTCTGGCGACGAAAATCCTATTGGACATTACCACTGTAACCAACGTCTCCAAATCTACAAAACCCCTATGTCCCCAGCAACCGTTTAGTGGCCATTCGCCGGTGGAGACCGATGAAAACCAGTCGCATGTGGTGGCTGTCATGGCTGGAGATCGACGAGTGATGAGGGGTTGTGAAGAGTAAGGTTTTGTAGAGAAGAGGATAAGGGTTCGAATGATGGTGACAAAGGTGATTTTGGGTGGAAGAATCGCCAAAAAAAGGGCAAAAAACGTCGACGGTGATGTTGGCTAATGTGCATCAGAGCCTTGTTAGAGGCGGCGATCTGTTAATGTGCGCCTCCTCTACGAAATGACCAATTTACTCCTAAGCCATTATATCTAACCATTTTCCGTTACTTTAAGGGTAGGAATCTGGAATAAATAGAACTTAGGGTACCAACTTGTGATTTCGTCAAATCTTGGGTGGGAATATGTCGTCTACTCTAATTATTTTAGTTTCTTAAGTTCACTGTTATGACTGCGCTTCCCAAAATGAACCTGTTTTCATAGATTCATGAGATGCCACAAAATATATTTATGACTTAATTTTTATCCCAATATAGATGTAAATATAACAGAGGAAACAGTCCCAATTTGATACTTTCTATATCCATTTATGATATTGGTCAACAAAATTAACTACTTAGCTAAAAATTCTAACTTGTACAGGTTCTTTACTGAAGCAAAAAAAGTTGCCCTATAACAGGAATCATTGCATGTTTTGGAAGGTGGGTATGCATAAAAAACATGTGAATGGACATGGTGACAGGAACTACAGCACCGATAATTTATTGTGGCATACTGGCATGTGAGTCGGTTCCCATTTGGTAACTGAATTGTAATTTTCAGAAATTGGTGAAGACACTTACCTAAGGTTTTTTTTTTTTTTTTTGGTTGACTTGAATGGAAATCTACTCATCTTCACAATCTCCTTTCATTAACCAAGTATTTTAATTTATTTTCAAAAACAATTAATAAGGATACTTTATCACCCACATCCTAGAATATCCTTATAAGTAGCAATATTTTGGGTAGTTGGCAATAAAAGATAGAAAGAAAGCACCAAAGAAGAGAAAAATAAAAAAAATGGAAAGCCAAAACCAGCTCTCACAACCACGGCAACCGGGCAAAGGCACCACCTTCGTTAGGACTTGTTTCAATGGACTCAATGCATTAGCAGGTTTCTCTTTCTCCCTCTTTCTAATTGCATAATAAATCTGCAGTTCAGAAGGGCCGAAAATCTCCCTTTCCATACAATAGCCTTGGACTTGAGCGTGAGTCTATTCCAATACCATTTGTTATGGAATTGAATAGCATTGTGATATGAATTATATGATCTTTCGTCTCATTTTAACAAGTGTTAGTTATTCTCTTGATAAAACAATTGTCATTTTGTTGCATGCAGGACATGAAAAAACACCCATGTTTTACCACCAAACTATGTAATCTGCTAATATGATTTAACCAATTATATGATTAGTCTGCCATGATGATGCTTGACTATAAGAGCTTCTAACTAGAGATAAGATAACTAATATCGATGAACTCATTACCATGTTTCTCAATCAGGTGTTGGCATTCTATCAATTCCATATGCACTTTCTCAAGGAGGGTGGCTGAGCTTAATAATTCTTCTTCTAGTAGCAATTCTGTGTTGGTATACAGGGTTACTTCTGCGACGATGTATGGATGCGCATCCACTCATCAAAACCTACTCTGATATAGGCAATCTGGCATTTGGCTATAAAGGAAGAGCTATAGTATCCGTATTCATGTATCTTGAGCTGTATTTAGTTGCTGTAGAATTTCTGATACTAGAAGGTGACAATTTAGACAAGTTATTTCCCAACATGGAATTCAAAATTGCTGGCCTCAAAATTGGAGGAAGACAAGGATTTGTTCTTCTCACTGCCCTCGTAATATTGCCAACAACATGGTTAAGGAGTTTGGGCATGCTGGCGTATGTTTCTGTTGGTGGGGTTCTGGCTTCAACTATTCTAGCCGCTTGTGTTTTATGGGTTGGCGCGGTTGATGGCGTTGGGTTCAATGAATTAGGCATGCTTTTGGATTTGGGAGGGATGCCAACTGCTATAAGCTTGTTTACTTTCTGTTATTGTGGCCATGCTGTTTTCCCCACTTTGTACAACTCCATGAAAGATAGAAGCCAATTCTCCAAGGTAAACAACCATTTTGTCGTTTCTTCTTTTTCACGATAACAATTCCCCAAATCTTAATTTCTCTTTGCAGGTTTTACTTGTGTGCTTTATTACAAGTACCATCAACTATGGATCAATGGCTGTTCTGGGATACCTTATGTATGGACAACATTTGAAGTCTCAAGTGACATTAAATCTTCCTCTAAGAAAGATTGGTACAAAAGTGGCAATTTATACTACTCTAATTAATCCCCTCACAAAGTATGCAATTATAATAACTCCAATTGCTACAGCTCTTGAGGACACTTCTCTTCTGCGTGGTAGCAGAGCCCTCAGTATCCTAATCAGAACGGTATTGGTTATAAGCACAGTGATTGTAGCATTAACTGTTCCATTTTTTGGCTACGTAATGGCATTCATTGGGGCTTTCCTCAGTGTCACTGTCTCAATATTGCTGCCATGTCTGTGCTACCTTAGGATTAATAAGGGTGCTCAACGTTTTGGAATGCAATTGATAGTAATTGTGGGAATATTAGTCATTGGGTCAGTTGTTGGTGTAGTGGGCACCTACACTTCAGTGAAACAAATTGTAAAGCATCTCTAAAATTTGAGAGAATGCACACTCTTAATAAGATACAAAAAAAAAAGTGGTGTTAATAGAGATTTTTAACGATAAATTTTAGAACGTTTTTGCAATGAATTTTCTCATATATTAAATTTGAATCATAGATAAAATATAAAAGCTTAATTACATCAGAAGGTATCGAACTATCACTTTTTTCCTATTGAAGGTATCAAATTATTTTTTTTCCTGTTGAAGGCACCAAACTATCAATTATTTTTATTGAAGGTATCAAACTTTAAGTTTTTCTTATTAAAGGTACCAAACTTTCATATTTTTTTTACGCGTTAAATATAGACACTTACAATATAAAAGATCTCAAATTAACCACTTTTTTTTTTTTATTTCAATAAAAACCACCCAGAATAAATAAAACTTACTCAGAATGAAAACTTATCCTAATTAAAACCCACATAAATTGCATAAACAAACAATAATCAATTTTTAAGTTTTTTATCCTTTAAATCAATTTTTTAACTTTCTTTCCGTTTCTTGTATTTTATTAAAAAAAATCACGTTCCAAATGTTTATATAAATTTGTATTATTGCCCACCTAGTTGCAATTTGCTTATTAATTACCTTCTATTTGTTGATAAAAATCTTTGCACCTAAATGATCCATAAATTAATCAAATTGGTTGTAGCAATCTAACAATGATCCATAGGTCTTCCTTCACTTAAACGGTCATAACTTCATCTAGAAAACTCCGATTCACGAACCGTATGAAGTTTGTGAAACTAGACACATAGGGCTTTCAACAATAATTTTTCCAGATTTTTTCTCTGGCCCAACTAGTGCAGTTTTATAGCCAAAGTCGACCTATGAGCAGCTAAAATCTTGAATATTCACTTCTTCTTCTTTACTTTGCTCAAAACCTTAACAAAAACTTAAAACAGTACACCCTAAACATGAGAATATAGCACAAAATTCAGCATTAGAGGTAAAAAAAAATATGTAACAATATTACCTTCTGTTGATCAGAAATAATAGTCAGCCCTCTTTCATCTGTAGCCTCAATGTCATCCTTCAGAAGAGTCATGAACCAAGTCCAACTATTCATATTCTCACCTTCCACAAAGGCCCCAGGCAAGTGGATACATTTGGTTATTGGGATCCCTAGCAACAACAACCAAAAGCTCACCCTTACATTTTCCCTTAAAGAAGCAACCATCTAACACAATTAAAGGTCTACACCCCTCCATGTAGCCTTTCTTTAATGCATCAAAGCATACATACAACCTCTTAAATTGTAGGTTATAGTCATCTGTGGTAGATGTCAACAACTTCATTGTACTACCTAGATTAGACCTATGCATCTCAGCTACATAATCCCAAAGTCTGCCATATTCATAATCAATGTCCCCATTCATCATTTCAATCATTTTATGTTTAGCCCTTCCTCACTTAGATAGTTGCACATCAACCTTTAATTCTTCTTTAACTAATTGTTTTAGCTCTCTTAGTCCAATACTAGGAGTTATCTTTACCCTACTCAAAGAGTGATTTGCTATAACTGTGGATGTCACTTTCCTATTACTGTAGGTCATAGGACATGTATGTGTTTCATTGCAAATTTTGACAATGAACTTACTAGAATTTTGCTCATATAATGCATAAACACAAAAGGGACAATTTCTAACACTACACTTGACACCAAGCTTTTGCTGCCTGAATATGCTAAGCCTAGTATGAACTCTCCTTTTGACACAATATTTGGTCACTGCATCCTTGAACTGTTTTTGGTTATCAAAGGCTAGGTTTACATGGAATTTCGGGAAAAAACATTTAGGATCATACACAATAGTTTTCCTAGGCCTTCTTTTACCATGCTCAATTTCATCTTCCTCCCCCTCACTTGATGTTATAAAGCTACTAGCATCTGAACTATAGTCCACCTTCTTCACCTATATTGACTTGAGATTGTACACATTCCTCATTAAGATCTCTTTCCTCTCTATCATTCAGCTCTTATACTCTTGTTGTTTTGGCAGCCCTTCTTTTTGCCTTGAACTCTTTCACAAATTTTCTATACTCTTGAAGCTCAAAATCAGACTTATAAGCTAGCTTCTCAACCTCAAAATCCCTATCACTATCACATCTACGCTTCCATTCCCACTATCTTCACTACCCTCAAATCCCAGATCATTCTCCTCTATATCACAATCACCCTTAGTAAAATTACCCGCTTGCCCTTGAATACCCTGACTTTTCCCTTGAATACAATGACTCTCTTGTCCTTGAATACCAGCTCAAATCCATTATTCCCAATACAATATGCGTTTATACCCTCCCTTCAATGGCAAACCTAATTCACACACAAACTTTTTTATAAGGACCACCAACGATGACAAAAACATGTGCATCAAGAGTGAAACAGTCAACACAACTTTTCAAACTAGAGAATAAAAAATAGTGACACCTCACCTTTTCTCTTGTCTTTATCCTGCAATCTTCCGATTCTGCTACGGTCGTACCTTCTCTTCCACCTCTTCAATCATAGCACTAAAACAAAACAAAGTAAAAAAGTTTGCTTGGGTATTCAATCGAAGACAAAAGTAATAGAAACTAACAGTTGGCTATTCAATCAATAAAATCAAACCAAAAACACCCGCCACCCACTGACAATCAGTATTTAACAATGAAATAAACAACACACCCACCCTCTAACAATTAATAATAAAAAATCAACGAACTCCAACAACCCTACCCTATGAATAATAAAAAAATCAATAGAAGGGAAAGTCACCTGGCCTAATATTGGAGACAACGACATTCGACAAACCCTAAACCCAAAAAGGTTTGCTCTTCATGCTTCATGTTCGTAGAACACTTTAACCGAAAACTTTCTTATTTTTTTTTATTGTGTTTCAATCGAACCATATTTGAAGATGGAAAAGAAAAATTAAGCAGATTTCGTTAGGATATTTTCTTTTTCTCGGTAAGATTTGTTCAATGACAGCGGCAAGAGTTTGGATTTTCCTATTTCTTTTGTTTGAAACAATATTTTTAGGGTTTAATTTTGTTTTAGTTGCTTAATTGTTTGGTTACGCGATTAGGCTGAGTTTTTAATCGGGGTAGGTTTTCGTTCCCAATAACACTACGGACACCGAAATTTGGACACCAATTTTTGTACCGGCCGACGTGGAACGCGTTCCTATTTCTTTATAGTTTTTTTCTAGTGAACGGCCGTCCATCAAATTTGGACGACCGTTCACTCACATGGACGCCCGTCCATCAAATATGGATAGGCGTCCATATGCGAGGGACGGCGTCCATATAATATGGACGCCCGTCCCTATTAAAATAAAATAAAAAAGTTTGTAAAAGTTTAGGGACGGCCGTCCATCCATTTTGGACGGGTGTCCACAAATATGGATGGGCGTCCATATGCGAGGGACGGCGTCCATATATATGGACGCCCGTCCTATTAAAATAAAATAAAAAAATTTTAAAAGCTTACGGAGCGCGTCCATCCATTATGGACGGCCGTCCATTAATTTTGGATGGGCGTCCACAATAAGGCGCCCATCCTTCACCCAAATATGAAAAAAAAGAAAAATTTCCATGGGGACGCCTGTCCACCAATTGTGGATGACCGTCCCTTAATTTTGGACGGGCGTCCGTAATTTTGGAGCCCGTCCAAATTAATTCTTAAAAAAAAAAATTTTTAAACACTGGACGGTCGTCCCTAACTTGTGGACGACCTCATTAATTGTGGACGGGCGTGGGGACGGCCGTCCCTTTGTAAAGGAGGCTGTCCAACCCGTATGGACGGCTCGTCCATAATGTTATTAAAAATTAAAAAAAAAAAAATTTTCGCATTTTAGTAATAAATTGTTTTTTTGTTATATTAGCTTCTCCAATACGTTCTCCAATTACAAGAGCTAAAGTGAAAGAAAAACAACGCCAAAATTCGTCGTCTTCTGCTTCATCGTTGTCGCTGTTCCTCGTTCTCAGCGTTTGCATTCCTCAGCCATTTCTTCCCGCAACAAACGTTTTTCCTCATTTCCAGGTACCGTGTGATAACGAAAGCTATCATCTGTTCATTTCATCAAACCATAGCTAATTTTTTACAGTCGAAAGAGAGATACAGGAAAGGGAGATTACAGAGTTTTGTTCAAAGGGAGATAGAGAGATTTGTGCAGGTTAATAACGATTTTTATATAATTTACATTTATTTAGTTTTTTACCGTGAACATTTTATATAACTTATCCATTTATTTAGTTTTGATTATATTTTGGATTGAATATTGTTACAATAGAAAAACACTGATCAGAAAATGTTGCTGATTGTTATGAATCAGATTAAAGAATATGGAAGAGTCTAGTTTGCCTCCGAATATGGAGACCAGTGCCTCAGATATGGAAGAGTCCAGTTTGCCTCATTCAATGATATTGAGGTAAATTTATTGTATCGTATTGTTTATTTATTTTGATGTGTTGTATTAGTAATTCTAATTTTATGTATTATAAAACTATTAAATCAGGAAAATGAACGTGTGATTAGAATATGAGATGGTGCAGAGGAAGAGTAGAGCCTCATATTGGAATGAGTTTGATTCAGTTGATAGTTGGTGAAGTATTAAAACGGTATGGTAACAAAATAGGATTTGAAGCAATGATACGTACGTCAAAGAAAGGCGAAGATGGAGAGATGAGATATGTGACAGTGGCATGTTCTGTTCTGGAAAGGAGAGATGTAGTCCAGAAATACCTTAAAAAAAAATGTTGCCAAAACAGTTGTAAGAGTCGGATTAGTGCAGCTTTGAATGGTGAATGCAAATGGGAAATTAAATCAGTTGTACTTGAACATAACCATGATCTTACAAGTCCGACAAAAAGAAGATATTTTAAGGTTAACCGAACAATACAACCTTATGTGAAAAGGCGACTTGAAGTTAATGATGTGGCTAGGATTAGACCGTGTAAGAATTTTAGTCATGTTCAGTTGAGGCGGGAGGTGTAGAGAATTGACGTTTCTAGAAAAAGATTGTAGGAACTACATTGAAAAAGTAAGAAAGTTAC